GGGGGGGGCGCCAGGGTGTAGGGGTTGGGGCAGGGGCAGGGGTCAAGGGGTGGGGGCCGGGGTCGGAGATCCCCGCGCCAGGAACCCCGTCTCAGCCCCCGGGGATCCCCGCGTGACAACCCTGGCAGGCACTGCCGCATTGTTGAAAAATGGCCGGGAAACGTGCTGGTGGTTTAAGATGGATTTCCAAAGATTTCCAGGAAGTTTTCTCCCTTGCTGTGAAGATTTATGTACTACCCTAGTACTGCAAATATAGCAACATGCACAATTTCTTGACTCTTGAAGTATTCTATCATGTCTTCAGAAAAGTTGTCCTCACAAGCTCTGGGAGTTAGTTCAGCTGTAGGAAGCTTACTCCTCACTAAAACAAATACCGGTGCTCGCAGCTGTATGCTGTGAAATAATTCAAGCTGAGGAGTTGTGAAGACAATTTTCCCAAAGACAAAATGCTTGAAATTGTGCATGTGCATGCTATCAGGATGAGCTGCCTGAACTTAACATAAATATTGATTTCCAAAATTAATGGGATTGAAGTTCGTTTCTCCCTCGTTGTGAAGATTGTCCAACCAGCCATACAGTGCTCAATGTAGCCAGCAAAGGTCGAATGCACATAGTTTTTAATCATGGTTTCCATGTCATTCCACATCAAACCAACACTACCGCCCCTCCATGCATGTTCCTCGCAATTGAGATTCATTTCTCCCTTTCTCTGAACTTCTAAAGGTTTTCCGACCAGCCTTGTACTGCTGAATATAACCACCAAAGGTTGAATGCACATAATGTTTTTATCATGGTTGCCATTTCTGAACATCAAATCAACACTACCGGTCCTCCAGGCATGTGAACCCACCTTCTGAGTGCTCCCATCAAAGAGGCTGAAGAGCCGTCTTCCTCGATCAGGCCATCTCTGCACAAACACCCGGTAGCACTGTCTTGCTGTTGACCTGACCTGGAAAGGAAATCCAGGACCCAAGTTAGAAGGGAGTTCACGCCTTCTGTTCAGCCTCATCCATCAACTCAAGACACCAGAGAAGAGTGCGGAATGCCCATGTCCGCATGTGAGCTGTGAGAAGAATCAACAATCAGCCTGAATCAGGGGCACACTGTGTTCACACTCATAAAGAAGTCAACTATTCCTTCACTACTGCATCCCCAGAATACAAAAACAACGAAGTTCAATAGGAATGGAAGTCACTTCTTGTCACAACTGGACAATGTGATCACACAAGACCTGCTGCTAGCTTATTACTAGCCTATTCTACTATCGGAACATGATAGCCAATGGCACTCACCACAAAGCCGCTCTCATGAAGACCAAGAGGAAAATAAGCATCGTTGAAATTCCAATGCCAACGACAACCCCAGTAAATCTTCTCCATCCAGCCACCGGTTACTGACCGCCCATGGTCTAATGGCACCCTCCCCCTCTGACTCTCTTCTCTCTTTCTCCGCCTTTGACTGCTGCCACTGCTCTCCCTTCCTCAGCTCTGAACTGCACAAAGCAGCCTGGCGGCCAATCAAAGGCCGCGCCAAACACGGCCAAAGAAGGATGCTGAACAACCTGCAAAATCGCAGACTGAGAAAACTGCTGATTTCTGAGTTCTGCCACTGGAATGTATGTATGCCTTGCTGAGATTCCCGCTTTTGCTGAGGTTTCTAAGTCTGTGTGTGAGCGTGTTTGCTGGTTTCCGTGTGTTTTGCTGAGTGCCCGAGTGCTTGAGTGTGTGTGTGACCCGCCAAGGCACTTGTGTGCTTGGGAGGCCCGTGGGGCCGGTACTTACCTGTGGCCATGACTTTGAGGGTTGCAGAAGGGGTAGCTTAGGGCACGCTCAAGTAGCGTAGTGTCGGTACTGGTAGTCCTTGAGTAGCGATAGGTCTAGCAGAAGCAGACAAAAAGTTAGTATTTTATAGAGGCCCAGTAGCGGTAGGCCTAGGTCTAGGCGGGTACCAGTCCAAGTAGCCTGAGTCTAGGGACTGTGCGGACGATATCAGAGCCTGCAATGAGGTTTCCCTCCGAAAGGGAGGACGTACCGGTTACTTGGAGGCCGTGCGGCCTGGAAGTCACTGCCCAAGAGGCAGGTTGGCCGCTATACCTCCAGGAAGAGCGTTGCTCTTCCTCATTTGCCGTATGCAAGTTTGGGCGTCATGCTGCTTGAGCGGGCGCTGGTTCTCAGAGTGATGCTGGGGAGGAAGGAGGAGAGTTGGGCCCTCTGCCTGGCTATGGCAAGCAGCCCAGCTTGAGGAGGAGGAAGAAGGGGTCGAAGGAGGAGACTGGCGAGGTACTTACCTGGCTATGGTGGATGCCATCATCACCTTGTTACGCACTGCATAGGGAAGGCCCCAGTTGGGGTACCACTGCACTAAGAAGGCTTCAAGGCAGAGTCAGGCATGGCGGCCTGAAGAGCAGCGACCATACCTGCTTTGCATTGTCTTTTGCACCTCAGGACAAGGCCCTTAGTAGTCCACCATAGCTTAGGCCTGTGTGGAGAAGAAGGAGAGGGAGGCCATGGCTATGGTAGACATCTTGTTGTGATGGCAGTAAGAGGGAACTCTTGTTCAGTTCGTTTATTATGCAACTACCACATGCACATTAAAAGTTGTATTGATACTTTTGTAATGAACCCAGTCTCGTTGAGAAGCCAGTTAGCAACACAATAGGAGTCTGAACCCATTGCAGCTCATGAAGTCTCCAACATCAATTACATGTCCATGCCTCGATCATATGCACAAATCAAGAGTGTCGTCTCATCAAAGAAGAGCATGAGAGGAGAGAGAGAGGAGAGAGAGAGGAGAGAAAGAGGAGAGAAAAGACAGAGAAGGGGAGGAGGAGATTCCCAATGATAATCAATAGTACATGTATGTCTCTCTCTCTCCCACTTCCACTTCGGGGTCCTCCTCTACCGCCATCCTCTGACATAATACTGTGCGGATCATATCAGGTGCCCATCATCCCTCCACATCCGCAACCAGATATGGAGGGTGGCGCAGCACTTCCTCACCTCCGTGGAGACAGCAGCAGGTCACACTTGTCGTTGCCAAGTCAGTCCAGGTAAGCTTCCCACATCTCCCTTCAGTCTCACAGCCCTGATCCTCCTTCTCCTCACCAATCCTCATCACCTAGTCTACATCTACGCCGCTATGGCCCGCCAGCAGCATCTGGCGCCAGTTCCCAACTCCAGCAGCCTGGCAACTCAACACTAGCGTCAAGCCAGTGCAAGGCAGAATACCTTCCCCAGTGTCTGACTATCCTTTTGTAGCGTTGACCAGTGTTGACTGGCGTGGATTTGCCCGATCTTGACGGCCTGGATGCAGCCTTGAAGATGCAGTACCTTGTCCCAGTTGGACTGGAATCTTCCAGATATCTGCCGACAACCATTGATGTGCATCTGATCTATGGCCGAGGCTGACTACTAGGTTGACTTCGACTTTGGGCCTGCTTTCCCACGCTTGGTCTGACTCTTGATTTTCCAAGAGTCAGCTACCTCACGTGGGGGCTCTGGACACTGTTTTTGACCCAGGCCCTGATACCCCTTGACCTTATGCCCTTTCCTAGGCATTTCTCAGACTTGGGACGTGACCTTTGACCCCTGTTTCTGGCCTTTGACCGAAAGTGACGAACCTTGCCCGCGACGGTGTGGCCATGAACTGAGTTTATTGCATTCGATCCAGCCCGATTTCGAGTTCCATCGCAGAAATTTCTTGTTTAGCCTCGGTTTTCTTTTAACCCACGTTCTCCGGTGCAGTAGGTGGCCATTTCACTAAACCACCTGGCCTCAGATTCAGGTTGGCTTTTGAACTTTACCTTGGACTGCGTCTGTGGTCGTCCTCTACCACCGGTTGAGAAGAATCCATGTTCCAATATCGTTTCAACCTCGTATCCTCCATCCATGGAAGGCGGAAACATGGATGACCTATTAGGAAAGTCGTGGCCTTCCACACACGGTAGCAGTTTAGAGACGTGAAAGACATGATAGGTCTTTAAGTGTGGGGGTGCATCAACACGGTAAGATGGTCCATCGCCATTCACGAAACAACTCATCCATTGATCTCCGAAAGGTCACGGGGGTGTTGGTACTGGTTCAATAGATTGTGGATCCGAGGAAGCAGTTCTGCATCTTTGACCGTAACCACGTTCAGTCCTCGATAGTCGATACAAAGTCTGAGTTCTCCTTCCTTTTGGGGCACAAATAAAACAGGTGCCGTAGGGAGATGAACTCGGCCTAATCCATCCCTTTTCAGTGAGTTCCTGCAGTTGTTTCTTTATTTCTTCAAGTTCATTGGGGGACATTAGGTAGACCGGTCCCTTTGGGATCTTGCTTCCGGGAATAATTTCAATAGTGTGCTTAATGGTTCGTTCTGTAACTCTCGATGGGTCAATCTCCAGGTCGTTATTCTCATCCAACAATTTTTCAGTAGGAGGATAGGACGAAGAACACTCACCCACATTCTTGATGAGCACCATCATTACATCCTTCACCTTCTTTTCGAAATCACACTTCTGATTATCCAACTTGTCATGTATGCAAACAGCGAAACAGCAAATTGGCGACAGGCGCCCACACAGTACTCAAGATATCGTATCCACATAAGAGTTCTCTTCAAACTGGCTATAGCGACTGAGCGCCCACACAACTCACTGCTCGCACTCTGGATCACCCTGGATGTCCCACACGCAACACTCAGTATCACACTTCACACACATACATGCTAGGCTACAGCTATGGCAGGGCTAGCTGCCACTACCTATCGCTGCACTCCCCTCCTCTGCCCACTTCGTCTTCGGGCACTCTGCAGACCTCCTCGCACAAGCTGCTAGGTAGCGCTTCCGCATGGCATCCGCAGGAATGAATCCATGAATGGACGCAGCCTCTTGATTTATACTTCTGTGCTGCATTGGTCTGCCTTGTGTCTCTGACCCATGGTGCACACAGTTCCCCCCGTGGTACTTGCTGGACCGGACTGGTACTTTCTAGACTCTCTCCAACATGGGCTTGCTTTAGTCACACCACTTGCCCACTTGCCTGCACCACTTGACCACTTGCCTGCACCACTTG